CTTCTTTTAAAAATAATAACTTCACTATCATCGCTATCGTAATTCGAATCCTCTATTATATTGCTCGTCTTACGTTTAGAAGGCATTTAATTGCTGAAGGGCATCAAATAAAAATATAAAAAAATTATACTGTAGAATAGAAAAAAATAGTGAAAATTTTACTGTACATACCTTTTATATATGCAATAAAATATTTAAATTATATTCTTATATTATATGACGTAACCCAGACGCTGATAAATCTGTACTTACGTTCAGAAAGATGGCAGAACACCAATGAATTGAAACAATTACAGCTACTGTATAAATCTGAAAACAGCGCAATAGCGCTCCTTGGCATTCTTGGAGAGGAAATAAGACAATCGCTTTTGCGCCGCTTGGCACTTTTGGACGGGAAAACAGCAAAGACACGTGGCACTCAAACGGTTAATAAGTAAACCGCGGCGCGGCAATTGGTACACTCGCGATTACCAGCTTCGCTACCCTGTACGAATTTTCAAATATTAATTATAAATTCTTGCGCGCAACTTCGAAAATATGAAAGCTCCAATTCGATTGAAAAACGACGAAAAAGCGCCGCATATAAATGCTCGCGCGATTGTAAACTTTCGCGATGCCGACCCGACCCGGCCCGACCCGGTCGCTGCCCGCCGCGACCCTCGGGTACCCGCGCACTCCTGGCCCTCCAAGCTTTTTCCTGCCACGCTTTTTTCTCTCGTTTTTTTTTTTTAATAGTTAGTTTGACTGACGGCTGTCGCGGCTATTTTCGGACCGCGTTCTCCTGGGAAAGCGCACGCGGCCGTGGGTGCGTCTCGTTTCTGTCAATCGGCGGAAGGATGGGTCATTTTTATTTTCTGGATCGCTTTCTGCGCGGAGATTTCACGTTCGCCGAGGAATTTCGGGTTACTCTTGCGCGACTTTTTGGTTAGGGTGCCCCCCCCCCCGTGGGAGGCGGTGGTGGGGACCCTTGGGTGGCGCTGTCTCTGAGAAAGTGCTCGCGGAAAGAAGTTTAACTCGGCTGCGGTCCCCGGGTCTTTTACGGCCGATTCCCCGTTTTATGGCGTCGGCACTGTGATTGCAATGTTCCTCGGTGGTTTTCGTCATTTCAATTTTGCCCGCCGGGCTGCGAAGTCGCGGACGCGACACCGTCGAATTGGGCCAACGTGTCGCGTCGTCTACGAAGGCCGATGAGATTTTTATATTCTGGGCGAGTGTGGGGGCGATTAGGGAAATTATGCGAGTCGCGTGTTGTTAGGGGTTGTAGTCGATGCGCAGATAATTCGAGCTGCGTCTGGGCATTTCACTACCACAAATTATTTCAGCAGGATACGATAATGGACACTTTTATCTAGCTGTTTCTGTACACTTCGAGAATTCTGGTGACTTTTTTTGGGATCTTAACCTCTGAATGGTACTCCAGGGTCTCATAACCTCGGTGCATTGATTTTCTTGTGTTGCAAGACATTGTGCTGCCGATCCTAAACGAGGGCAGGGCCGGGGGAAAAATAG